TTCTCAATAATAAACTACCATTTTTGAAAAAAATACGTGTGACACTCGGGGACTGCCGCGGTAAAGTTATTGCATAGCATTTTTTTATCAACTTATGAAATTATAATTATTTATTTATTTTATTTATGCAGTATTTTTTTTTCTTTGATATTAATTCAAGTTACACTTTTTGAGCGTTTGAACATATTTTTTTTTTTTATTGAATAAATATTGTTTAAAATATTTTTATTATCTTACAATACATGCAGGTTATTCAGGAATTTTTATCATTGAAACTATAGGTTTATGGTAACTAAAATAAGAAAAATAAGTTTAAGACTTGATATCCTCTAAATATCTGGAAAATACCACGCCAATGGTGGTCCCATTTTGTTGTGGATTCTTGTGGATCATTATTCATTTTCAAATTTAATTTTTCCGAAATTGTGTCAGATAGAATCAGTTATGAGCAGTTAGCAGCTAGTCTACACGCATACGTCTAGTCGCACGCACACAAACACCGTGCCGAAGTCTGCCGAACTGAAACGACGTTAGACGATGCACGGCTTTCAACGCCGCACGATGTGCCGGTCGGAGTGGGGGGTGTTAGGTTTATTTTCGTTACGGAATTTCTTTTTCGATTTTCTTTTATTGAATAAATGAGAAGTTAATATTGTTTAACGCCGCACCGCTGTGCCGGTCGGAGAGGGGGGTGTTAGGTTTTTTTTCGTTACGGTTTCGTTTTTTTTTTTGATTCGGTCGCCGCGCTCAAAGCCCGCGATAAAAGCTATGCAATAGCTTAAAAAATTCTCCCGTATTTTTTTCATCAAAAGGAAAAATTTTTAAGGCGTCGAAAAAATTTAATTTTTAATGACCATTCTAGTAAACACACACTATCACAATATTCTTCAAAGTCTCCAATAAATGTGCCATCCAATATACCAATATGAGGCGATATTAACTTTGATTATTTATATCAGTATTAAGTAATATATTAGGGTTTAAGATGCGTTTTTTGTAGTATTTACATTTGGTTTTTCCACTATAGTGCGCTTATTATTAATATATTTAATTGTTTTTGAATTATCTCCATTATTAATTAATTCAGATTTAACTTTAGCATATTTAATAGTCATGTTGAGACTGTGTTTGATCTGCAAAAATAACAATGCGAGGAATGTCGATTGTTTTTTTATTTTTAAGTATCATTTTAGCTTCTTCTTGTGATTTTAAATTTAATTTTTTACTTTCCTATCTGTATACAGATAAGGAAAGTATAGGAATCATGATTTTTTCGACCTCCAGTTTTCGACGGATTTTTACGTTTTGGGGTCCCCTGAATCCGTTTTGACTATTTTTGGAATGATGCCTGTCTGTGTGTCAGTGTGTGTGTTTGTATCCACCATAACTCATGAACCGATACAAAGAAAAACACCAAATTTTAAACTTAAGCTTTATTCCAGCCTGCGGTGAACTGATTAGATTTTGGGCAGAGTCGGAACATTTGGGGGGTACTTTATTGGTGGTCATTTTTATATTTTATGGAATATATCTGTTATTTACGTTTGGAGAAGAAAATTCTTTAAATAAAAGTTACTTATAATATTATTATCTATAATTTTTGTTCTTTACAAAATTTTCCTAAAATGACCCGTATTCGAGAAATTTGACAAATTGTAAAAAAATTATTTTTTTATAAAAATTGTTCAGATAAAAGTTGTTTGTAATATAATTCTCTATAATTTTTATCCCATACATAGTTTCTCTAAAATAGACCGTACTCGAGATATTTGAGAAAATGTGTAAATTTCGAATTTTGAAGAAAACTCAAAAACGGATAAAGGAAAAAACATAAACTTAAGTTTTATTTCGGCCTGAGATGAAATTATTAGATTTTGGACAAAGGCGGAACATTTGGGGGGGTACTTTATGGGAGGCCGTTTTTATATTTTATGGAATATATCTGGTATTTATGTTTGGAGAAGAAAATTGTTCAGATAAAAATTACTTACAATAGTATTATCTATAATTTTGGTTCCATACAATTTTTTTTAAAATGGTCCGTATTCGAGAAATTTGACAAAATGTAATAAAATTCAAATTTTTAGGAAAATTGTTTAAATAAAATTGTATTTGTGATATCGATCTCTATAATTTTTGTTTTTTATACGATTTTTCTAAAATGGACCTTATTGAAGGAAAAGTGCTAAATTTTAATTTTTCAGTATTTTCGTTTTAAATGAATATCTATAGAAAAATGTTTCGAGTTAGATGTATGTGGAAAATGTATATATTAAGTTTATCCTCTAAACATTTATAGAGGTGCTGCAATAGGTTGTACAAAATAATCGGAAAAAGCCTATAATAACTAGATAGGAAAGTCATGTGTTGGACACATCAGATTTTTAGGTATAGTCTTATTAGGCTGATACTTTTCAAGTCTAAAATCTTTAACATCATCAGTACTTACATTAAGGTTGCTAATTATATTTATGACAGTCTCTAAGTCTTCCTTATTCCTGTCAGCCTGAGATCTCTTTTTAGACTCATTAATATTTAAGAGTATAACATTGGATGCACGATTTTGTCGGTCAATCATTAAAATATAGTACTTGTAGCTATATTAAATTTTATCCTGTAATTGGACCCTTAGATAAAAGAAACAATAGATGATGCGTTTCATTCATAAAGTATGTTTTGTTTGGTCCCAATCATCGGAAAAGAGAAAAAAGATATTTTATGCGGATCGAAAGAAGACAGACTGTAATCGAAAATATCGTCTGGCAACGCTGCTGTTACACGCAACTAAAAGTCTGCCGATACCAGTGGCGTATCTTATTAAAGATAAAATCATAACTAATTATAAAAAATAATGAAATACTAACCTATATGGTGTGCAATAAACTTTATAATGGTTTAAACTTTAAAACCGAATGGATTTGGAATAAGGGTATGAAGTTCAGTGGAATGTACGCAAAAAACTTAAAAACAGTATTTTTTTCCAAGAATATTACAATATTTATTACATATAAATATGTTACATAAAATAAAATAAACTAAAAACAAGATAAATAAATCAAGATTTATTTTAAACAAATTTTCGATTCCAATTTTGGGGTTAAAATTTGAACAGTTTTACAAATTGGTAAATGAGAGATTTTTAACACTAATAAATTTATAAAAGTTATTAAATCAATAAATTTACCATACACAAGGTGGGGATTTTAATTGGAACGCTTCTTATAGTGAATCTGGTGATAAGAATTTTGTAAAATCTGAAAACACGTAGAACTGTACAACAATAAACTTATCCATTGACAGTTTTTTACTTGTAAAACTAGTCAGTAAACTAACTTACTTATTATCATCCCTAAATAGTTTTTTCTAAATTTGTGCGGCATAGATAAACTATCTTCTGGTTTCTTACTAGGGGTGTCAAAAATACTGATACTGGAATCAGACCTGTAACAGAGTATTCAGAACTTTTAATTAAAGGTAAGTATACATTTTCATTTATAATAAGGTAATCCATGAAAATAATCAAAGAAAAAGGCATGTAATATGAGTTTATAAAAAAGTTTGTCCTCGTTAAGCACCTACAAAATTTAAAGAACTTACAATATAAAAATTTATGTGTAAGATAAAGTACCAACTTTCATCTTAAAGGATAAACACCTAAATGTTCCGAGCATAACACTCTTTTTTGGATACCTTTATTTTCTTCAAGTCCTACAAAAGTGATAGCCAAATATTTCTTGTATGCCTTTCAGTTGGGAATCTAAAAATCAAGCATAAGCATAATTATTTCAGTACTATTATAGTGCAGATTAAAGTGTTTCTATTAATTACAATTTTTTGCGAAATTAATAACGTTGAAAGATCAAAGAAAATAATAGTAAAACAAAAGTAGATAATACATGTAATATTATGGCAAAAATCTTTAAATCTACACCACTGTATGCAATACATTATCACCTAACCTTACTTACTTATAAAATGATACTTCAGCACCCACATTTTCCAGTTTCTTTGCACAAAAGGCACTCGCGAACCATGTTGTTAGCCATACACAAGCCGATATTTTTCCAAAAAAAGGCTAAAGATTAACAAAAACACCCAATATGCAACAATTTACTGGATCCCAACGTCGCAAACTATCGTTGGATAAAATACTATACGTGACATCCGTGACGTATGATATGAATGAAACAAGGTTATTTTAAATTGCGGTGGTGTCACGTTTAACGCTTTTAAAATTCTTGCATTTATTTTTAGGAATAATAATGGTGTTTGCCATAAATTATCTTAGTATTTAAAAAGTTGTTATTTAGCAAGCGTATGTACGTAAAAACGATAGGTATAAAAATGCCCTGCATAATGGTGTGAAAATAGGTGCTGCTAAAATATAAGTCTGCTGAAAGCAGTTAAAATAGCTCAATCTACTTTGTACAAATTTTATACGTTTTTTGTTCTGTTACATGTCATTTTATTTAGAGATTTACTATTAGAAATGTTTCGGGAAATATTGCAACATCTCTGCCCACAATGCGTCGGAGTTGGAAACACTGCACTAGGTACGTAAATGAATTGGTGGGGACGCTTGATGTGTCGCAACATATTTCGAAACTATTCTAATTAATAAAACTTGTTGCTATTAGTAAGTTATAGGTAAAAACTATTTTTAAATCAGCCTGGCAACAGCGCACCAGGCAACGCATGTCGGTTCATTTACGAAATTAGCTACGCGCTACGTTTCTTTGCAATGTATGACCGGGTTTTAAACGTAAATAGAGGAGAGCTTTGATTGGACCACAGGTCTATTCGAGTTATATAGAATCTTTTTTATATAATTAATATATCTATTTATTCAATTGGTTTTTAGACATACACAGTTAATAATTAATTAATTTGAGATAACACAATTTTTTTTGATAATGTATCAATACAAGAAATGATGTTTTTACTTTGTAGCCTTAGTAAAAATGAAACTAATGCCGATTTAAATAATAAACACTTATTACCTCCAGAAGGCTTCTGTTTTTCTCTCCACATAAGCCAAGACAATGCATGTTTCTGGTGTGTCATTAGCTCTACCTTCAAGCCTTTTGGTGGTTCGGCCAAATCGTCTTCCTTTGGACAAGTTTGAAGGGAACCATGCAATTGATGAAGTCTATCCACTGTCAATTGCCTTTCTGTAGTGATAGTAGCTACAGCTTGTTTTCCAAAAGTCCTTGGTAAAACTTTACCAGTACCCTCTTTAATTTCATTCCAGGATAAAATTTTATTTTGAGGCTTTATTGATGTACTAGGAGGGTTATTTTGTTGAGTTATTTTCATGGTTGAAAGTTTTAAAACCTCTTCTAAATGAGCTTGTTCTAATGAGTTTGCTCTTTTTTTCAAAGACTCACCCCTATCTGGAAGATGTTCTAGGTTGATTTTCTGGATTAATGCTGAAGCCCTTTGAAAATCTGTTTGGATTTGTCTTACTTTATCACTTTGTTCCTGATATTCTTTTGGTGATACCTGTGCAATAATAATTATAAAATTGAAAGTAAAAATACAATTTTTGTACCCACATAATTCGAGAGCCATAACCCAGGACCACATAAATTATATACTGCATAGGGGAAGTATTACAATTTTTGAACAAAATTGTTCTATGCACTTGTGAATCATTTTTTTTTCATCTCCTAAAAAATGTTGATTTTGCAACTTATGAGGTCTTGCTTTGTGGCCCTCGATATTAAATATATTTTAACTTTTGAAATAAACAATAGTGCCACAGGCACAATTAAGATTATAAAATTCCTAATAGTCAATGTAGACATCAATCTAAATAAAGTAAAACATGTTCAGTCAGAACAATAAAAAAGCAGCCTAAAACCTGATAAAGTATTCACTGTTTATTATTAAAATGCATACTCACTTTTAATAATGTGCAATTGTTTAGCTACAGAAACCATGAAAATGAGAAAAATAACTTTGGTAATTATGTTAATCCCTACAGCTCTACTAATTTAGAGGCACCCACCCATCTCTATTTGATACAAGTCAAATTGGTTAAAAATCAAATTTTTAAAACAAGACTTGGACAAATTTACATGACCCTGATCTGATGATACAAGTAATGTTATTAAAAATTACAATTTCTAGGGTCCTCTAAAATTATTAGGGTTGATCCTTTTGAAATAAGTCAAAGTGACATTTTAAGTATTGCAAAAAGTTTTAAACAATAAATAACTGGAAGTTATTTTTCTCAACAAAAAGAGAAAGACCTAAAAGTAGATTAAAGTGTTATCTTGTGTAACGGCCGGCGTCAATGTAATTGTTTGTTTCTGGTCTGTTATACCATGGTCTTTCTTGGTTATTACTAGCAACATTATTGCAATGGCTGGCGAGTTATTTATCTGAAAGATTCCAAACTGTTAAATTGAATAATTACAGATCTAAAATTTCCAATCCATCTGGAGTCCCCCAATGGTCCCATTTGGAACCTTTGTTATTTTTATGCTTTGCTGATGACCTAAAGTGCTACCTAGCAGTATCATCTCTTGGGGATTGTCTCAAACTTCAGTCTGATCTGGCTAGGCTTGATAAGTGGTGTGCGAATAATGCTATGGACCTAAGTGTCACTTGATATCCTTTACTAGAAAGATCAACAGGATTGATTATCAATATAATATCAAGGGTACACCAGTGTCCCAACCCCAAGTATCCAGTACACAAATAAATGATTAATTATTTAATTTTTGAAACTAAATAAATAGAACCATTAGAAAATAACGAATGTTGGTTTTCAAAATGATTTTATTTATTTATTTATTTTCAAAAATTAAATATTTAATAATTTATTTGTGTACTGGATAAGTGGGGAGAGGTAGTTATTTTGGGGTTTGTCATCTCCACCAAGCATCCATAATCTATTGCAAGAACTAGGGATAAGTTACAATTTCTTTTATACCCTTGCTATTTAGTAATAAAGTAATATTCCATCCATATTGCGTATTCATGCTCTATGCTTTCCTAGATAATAACTGTTTAACGTACAGCATGCAAAATTAACATAACACTATCCCATCTTCAATATCATTGATAAATTTTCTTTCTTTTTCTCTAATCAAATTTTTTACTTTCTTCCTCATTTCATTATATTTATTTTCATAAAAAAAATGATGTACTTCTCAGCCTTCTATATTTTTCTTTATCTTTCAGTAGGTCTTTAATTTCCTATTATGGACATATTGCGCAATGTTCTTGAGCTGGCGTATAATTTCAAGAAAGCTTCTAAAAGAAAATTAATTATAACAGGAGATATCAATGTAAATTTTTTAGATCCAAATGACCAAAATGCCTCTAATATTAAAAATCTTTTTTTATGCTACAATCTGCATCAAGCAGTTCACCAAAATACTAGATACAATAAATGTTTAATTTTTTTTATAAATTTTGACATTATAACTGTAACCGGCGTGACAACAGCCACGAGTTCCAGCCATCAGTTTGACGGCGGGAACCAAAGCGCCAGCGGTAATCAATCCATGGCTGGGCTGTGAATCCATGGCTGGGCCGCGAATCCATGGCTGGGCCGTGAAGAATTAAAAAATTGTAAACAAACTAATAAATCGTATGAATCTAAATTACAAAAAATTATTTACCCTCAAAAAAAGCCTTTATATTAATAACTTAAAAAATCTTTACTGGCTTAAAATGCAAGTAAATAAATTTTTTTATAAACAAATTAGCTTGTATTTATGTCTTCTATTTGATGTAAATGTCAGAATATTTTGCCGGGCAGGAAATCACCCTCAAATCCAAGCCCTTATATTAAACACTTCAAAAATCTTAGCCTTTTTAAATTGGAATAAAATGAAACTTTTTTTATATAAATTTGATAATATTTACGTACTCAACCTAATGTATATCTCAAAATATTTTGCCGGTCTGTAAATCACCCTCAAATCAACCCCTTATATTAAATATTAAAAAAATCTTTACTGGCTTAAAATGCAAGTAAATTAATTTTTTTATAAACAAATTAGCGTGTATTTATGTCTTCTATTTGATGTATATGTCAGAATATTTTGCCGGGCAGGAAATCACCCTCAAATCCAGCCCTTATATTAAACACTTCAAAAATCTTAGCCTTCTTAAATTGGAATAAAATGAAACTTTTTTTATATAAATCTGATAATATTTACGTACTCAACCTAATGTATATCTCAAAATATTTTGCCGGGCTGTAAATCACCCTCAAATCAACCCCTTATATTAGATATTAAAAAAATCTTTACTGGCTTAAAATGCAAGTAAATTAATTTTTTTATGAACAAATTAGCTTGTATCTATGTCTTCTATTTGATGTATGTGTCAGAATATTTTGCCGGGCAGGAAATCACCCTCAAATCCAGCCCTTATATTAAACACTTCAAAAATCTTAGCCTTTTTAAATTGGAATAAAATGAAACTTTTTTTATATAAATTTGATAATATTTACGTACTCAACCTAATGTATATCTCAAAATATTTTGCCGGGCTGTAAATCACCCTCAAATCAACCCCTTATATTAGATATTAAAAAAATCTTTACTGGCTTAAAATGCAAGTAAATTAATTTTTTTTATAAACAAATTAGCTTGTATTTATGTCTTCTATTTGATGTATATGTCAGAATATTTTGCCGGGCAGGAAATCACCCTCAAATCCAGCCCTTATATTAAACACTTCAAAAATCTTAGCCTTCTTAAATTGGAATAAAATGTAACTTTTTTTATATAAGTACTCAACCTAATGTATATCTCAAAATATTTTGCCGGTCTGTAAATCACCCTCAAATCAACCCCTTATATTAAATATTAAAAAAATCTTTACTAGCTTAAAATGCAAGTAAATAAATGTTTTTTTAAACAAATTAGCTTCTATTTGTATCTTCTATTTGATGTATATCTCAGAATACTTTGCTGGGCTGGAAATCCCCCTTAAATCCAGCCCTTATATTAAACAATTAAAAAATCTTTACTCACTTAAAATGCAAGTAAATGAATTTTTTTATAAACAAATTAGCTTGTATTTATGTCTTCTATTTGATGTATATGTCAAAATATTTTGCCGGGCTGGAAATTACCCTCAAATCCAGGTCTTATATTAAACACTTAAACTAACTTTGCCTGTTTAAATTGGAATAAAATGAAACTTTTTTTATATAAATTTAATAATATTTATCTGCTCAACATAACGTATATCTCAAAATATTTTGCCGGGCTGCAAATCACTCTCAAATCAACCCCTTATATTAAATATTTAAAAAAATCTTTACTGACTTAAAATGCAAGTAAATTAATTTTTTTATAAACAAATTAGCGTGTATTTATGTCTTCTATTTGATGTATATGTCAGAATATTTTGCCGGGCAGGAAATCACCCTCAAATCCAGCCCTTATATTAAACACTTCAAAAATCTTAGCCTTCTTAAATTGGAATAAAATGTAACTTTTTTTATATAAATCTGATAATATTTACGTACTCAACCTAATGTATATCTCAAAATATTTTGCCGGGCTGTAAATCACCCTCAAATCAACCCCTTATATTAGATATTAAAAAAATCTTTACTGGCTTAAACGGCAAGTAAATTAATTTTTTTTATAAACAAATTAGCGTGTATTTATGTCTTCTATTTGATGTATATGTCAGAATATTTTGCTGGGCAGGAAATCACCCTCAAATCCAGCCCTTATATTAAACCCTTAAAAACTCTTGGCCTGCTTAAATTGAAATAAAATGAAACTTTTTTTATATAAATTTGATAATCTTTATGTGCTCAACCTAATGTATATCTCAAAATATTTTGCCGGGCTGTAAATCACCCTCAAATCCACCCCTTATATTAAATATTTAAAAAATCTTTACTGACTTAAAGTGCAAGTAAATTAATTTTTTTATAAACAAATTAGCGTGTATTTATGTCTTCTATTTGATGTATATGTCAGAATATTTTGCCGGGCAGGAAATCACCCTCAAATCCAGCCCTTATATCAAAAATCTTAGCCTTCTTAAATTGGAATAAAATGTAACTTTTTTTATATAAATCTGATAATATTTACGTACTCAACCTAATGTATATCTCAAAATATTTTGCCGGGCTGTAAATCACCCTCAAATCAACCCCTTATATTAAATATTTAAAAAAATCTTTACTGACTTAAAATGCAAGTAAATTAATTTTTTTATAAACAAATTAGCGTGTATTTATGTCTTCTATTTGATGTATATGTCAGAATATTTTGCCGGGCAGGAAATCACCCTCAAATCCAGCCCTTATATTAAACACTTCAAAAATCTTAGCCTTCTTAAATTGGAATAAAATGTAACTTTTTTTATATAAATCTGATAATATTTACGTACTCAACCTAATGTATATCTCAAAATATTTTGCCGGGCTGTAAATCACCCTCAAATCAACCCCTTATATTAGATATTAAAAAAATCTTTACTGGCTTAAACGGCAAGTAAATTAATTTTTTTTA